GGAAGGGCAAGTCGGGCTTCGGGGGCTGGGAATGGCACAGATGTAGTAAATACCAGGAAGTGGGCCTAGGAATAGGCTAAGAAGCGGGCAAACATTTGGGCTGACCACGGACGGGAACGAGAACACGGGGAAGAATCACCTGGAGTTGTGCTGACAGGGCAATCGGGCCCTTAAGCATGGCTAGTGGTTCCTGTGGACACGTGGCGGTATCAGAGGTGAAGGTATTCTGGTGGGATCCCCTCCCAAGGGACCTTGGCTCTAGTTCCAGATTACCACCAGCTTGCTGTGTAAGCTCGGGCAGGCTGCCTTCCATCTCTGGGCCTGCCTCTCTGTAAACTAGGAAGTAACTTGGGTAATTAAATCGCCAACACCCAATTTGGGGGTTCCAGGCCCCACCCAAGGGTCTGCAGAGGCAGGGCCTGGCATCCATGAGTGTTCTTGAGGATTCTGCGTTAAGCCATACAATATGGAATTCAGAAGTCCTTCACACTTGAGTCCTGGAAGCTGACATGAGCCTTCATTACGATTCATCGGCAGTCTACTCACCTTGTTGATGTAAGCTAGCGAAATTAATGATTTATTAAGGTGTTATTTGGGGGGGGGACAACACAACTTCTCAAAGCCACAAAATCCTTGGGGAATCCTGAGGGCTCTGGGGATGTTCAGACCCCTTCTTATGTTTGGAAACCAGACAGGAGAGGGGCAGAGAGAGAGTCCTGTTAGGTCTGACTGGATTCTGGCATTTGGGTGAAGGTGGGGAGAGGAATATCCTCGTCCCTTCTGTGGCTGCCCTCTCCACTCTGAAATTATTGCAGGTATCCTGAGCTCCCACCACCCCAGCCTGGCCTGGGGACTCTTAGAGAGCTGTGCATAGAATAAAGGCCAGAGTTGCTGAGCAGGGGGTGGCCTTGGTGTGAGGTTACAGTGGAAGGGGCTGAGCATGGGACACTCCTGTGGATTCTGCCTCCAGGAATCAGACCTGTTGGACTGGATCTTCCTTGCCCCATCTGCAAAGTCCTGTTTTGATCCTTCCTCTACTTGTATCTGCCAGTAGCAATCAAGAACTCAGTGTCCCAACCAGAAAGGGACATGTGTCCTGTCTCCCTAAGCCCAGGGCCTCAGAAGTGTTCTTGACTACATGAAAGGGGAACCCCGGCCCCTCCCCCATCCCCCCTGTGAAAATTGGCACTCACCCCGTCCTTCCAGAGCACTTGCCTAGAGATTTCAGCCCCTCCCCCGCACCCCTGCAGCCTCCCCCTGGCTCAGTCTGGGAAGGAGGCAGATGCCTGAGTGGTGGGGCAGCAGAGGATGGGATCAGGGCTCTTGGCATTCAGTTAGAAACCCGTGCCTAGACTCTTCCTCTACTTGGAGAGAGTCCCTCGGAACCAGGAGCTCCCAAACCGAACATGACTCCAGATCCCAAGCAGCCAACCCTTTATCAGGCCCCGGGAACAGCCAGGGACCTGGCGTCCACCAGACAACCAGAGCGACATTTAGGGTTAGACCCAGCCAACCCCAGAGGCTCCCGACATTCCCGGAGGGCAGATGCAGCAGAAGCCTCAAACTGGTGGCCAGTAGGTTGCTTTCCAAAGCCCGCACCTCTTTGCCCAGTTGGCACAGAACTCCCTCGTTCTGCCCGTCACCACAGTTTTGCTTCTATTCACCCCTCTTTCCTTTCTGGCAGTATCTGAACTAATGCTCATGCACCCTGCCCCAGAGAACCTTCCTCCCACTGTCAGGCCTTTGTAGACTCCAGACCCAGGCAAGCTGCAAGGAAGGGGCCTGCAGAATCTTAGTCTTTGGGGGAGTGCTTAGGGATGACTGCCCCAAGCCTTTTAGGTTCTCCCCTGGAAGTCTGCACATTCTCTGCCTTGCCCTCCTGGGTCTCTGCTTCTCCCGCCCTCAGGTGATATACTTCGGTGAGACGAAGGTGCAGGGAGGATCTGGCTGAGAGTAAGGCAGATTTGAGGGGGATGGGAGGAAGAGATCAAGCCTGAATCTCTAGACAGTCCCTGCAGGGGAAGGTGGAGGCCTGCGCTGGGGTGACCATTACAAGGCACATGGTACGTTGGTGAGTGGAGGTACAGTCAGGGGTGTGAGGTGACTGTGGGGGTTTGAGGAGCACAGCCAGCAGCTGTTGGCTTGAGGGTGGAAGCTCACGGAATAGGAGGAGGGTTCTACGTTAGGAAGGGAAGGTCTCAGGGTTAGATATCAGGCCAGGCCCTGCCTAGTATTTCTGTCCCCAACATGTCCTATTATCTGCTGCTCCTGAAGAAGTTAAGACAGACTTAACTTTTATTGATATACAGGGGAACTCCGTGGTTCCATTCACTTGCCGCATGATCTTGGGCAAATGTATGGCCCTCTCTGAGTCGTCTCTAGAATGTCTATGAAGGACAGGTGACTTTGGGGACCTGCTGTGCTCCTTCCTTTGAGGTTGTGGTTCTAAAGCCCTCTCTCACTGAAAGAACCTTAAAGGAGTCAAGGGAGGGACTAAGAACGGAGGTTTGGTTGATGGTCTGGGAACAGGAGCAGAGGACTGGGGTCCAGTTGTAACAGGGGAAAGAGACCAGCTGAGGTAGATTGTGTCACAGAAAGGAACCAAAAAACAGCTCCAACAAGATAGGGCCTGCCCCCACTCTGATTCTTCTGCCTTAGTGAAGCAAAATCATAGGCCAGTAATGAGAGGCCTCAGGCCAGGAAGGTTGGGGCTCGGGGGGTGGGGGCAATACTTTGGGGGAGATGAGCTCTGTCTACATAGTGAGAAAGGTGAAGGCCCTCTGACCATGTCCTTCCCTGGTGCTCAGATCTTGCAGGCTGGGTCCTGGGAAAAGCTCTGTGAGAACAGGATGAAAAACGTGGCCGTAGCTTTCCAGCAGGCTCAAGCCATGCCTAGCTTTGCTCATCCGGCCTGCCCTGACCTCCTACAGCAATCAGCCAAAGGATCTGGAACCTTTCCTTCTAGGCTGCTGGAGAATGGAGCATCCATTGGGCCATTGGGGGGCCGGGAGTATAAAATAACTTGTCAAGGGTAGCCCAGATATCACCTTACGGATGTGTGGGATGAGTGGATAGCTCTTGTAGGGGTGCAGCGCACACAGGGGAAGAGAGCCATGGAGTGACAGTTCCTGACACATGAGCCCTGCAGAAGCAGGGTTTCGGGCCCATCCCCAATGCTCTGTCTTACAGACTGTGACATGTGCAGAGCTGGCCGTGGCTTTAGTCTTCAAAGCTAGTCCTGGGTAGAGGGAAAAAGAGAATGGATGGCTCCCTCAGAGCAGGCCTGGGTGAGGATGGAGCTACCGGTCACTCTGGAGGCCTCTTGGGGGCAGGGGGATGGGGGGGCAGAAGGAGGGAAAAAGTGTTCTGCGCTGGCAGAACAGGTGCAGCCACTCACGGTGCCAGGCACGGTGGCTCGTACCCCGGGGATGATGTGTGCTCACGTGTGCAGACACGCAGTGTGCCCTCTCAGCCTCACCCTGAGTGTGGCTCACTCCCTCCATCCTCAGCAAACCAATCACTGCCACATCCGCACTGATGGGACCCTGTGAGAGCAGCTGCCACTCTGGACTCAACTTTCTGTCTGTAACTCCAAGAGAGGCTGAGCCGGACGGGAGGGCCCAACACTAATTTGCATAGTCTAGGGTTCACACTTCCAGCCCCTTCTGCACTTGTCCCTACAGTCCTGGCTGTTCCCTTCCAGTGAGCTCACCTCACTTGGCATAGGGGAGTGACAGGGGACTCTAGGTCCTGCCTAGAGCTTCATCCTCCACTTCTCACTGCCGCCTACCTCCCAGTCCATGTCTTGCATGCCAGTCAAGACCTGCTGTCCCAGGCCAGGGGCACATCCCAGGATGAGTGGTCCTTGTGCAACCCAGGATGTCTGGACCATGGGAATGGGTCACAGGTGAGGCAAAGCAAGTTAGTTTCCCAGGTGCTGCCCCAGAGAAGCTCAGCAGTAAGATGGCAGGAAGCCAAAATTTATGTCACATTCCCAGAGCTATTTTTTTTTCCAGCTGAGAACCACTTGACAGTAGAAATGTCTCAAGGGTCCTGAGGATGATTTTCTTATAGAGACGATAAGGCTGGGGACGTGGAAGAGGGCCTAGAACTCCCATAAAGCCTGGCAGCCTAGAACTAGAGCATCATTCTAGAATGTCCCATGTGGTCCATGCTTCCATGTCTTCTCCCTCACTCCCCCACCACCCATGGCAGAAGCTAGAACCGCCCACATCAGAGCCCCAGGGCTCCAGTGTCCTTGATCCTTAAGAAAGACCAGCAGCTCCCTAGGACACATTATCGAGAGGTATTCTAGAACTAAGATGTCTCCCCAACACGTCCTCTGTCAGGGTGCTAGAGCCTTACCTATAGTTGAGCTAGAAAGAGTAGCTTCCCAGACATTTTACTTGCTGTGCTTGAGAGCTTCACCCAGATGCACATCTAGAACAAACAGCACCTGTGACCTTTCACCCGAGGGGGCCAGACCTCATCCATAACAGAGCTCCTCCCAAGCGCACATCCCGAGCAGAGGCACCTCACCCCACACGTGTACCCTTCATATTGCTGTCAGCCCTCACTCCTTTGGGTTCTGTATCCTTCCAACACGTGTACAATCAGATTCCCAAATTCTCGCCCCTCTAATTCTTCTCCTGTCCAGCTCCCCTTCCTACAGGAAGTGTGCCAACCCTGTCCAGAGACCCCCCAACTCATCCGATACTCCCCACAGCCTTCCCCATCCTTCTCTCAGAGATCCCCTCCCACCACAAGGCAGCCCTTCCCCCACACTCCCTGAGGGGTGCTCTGGGCCCCAGGCCATGCCCTTTCTCTTGCAGGCCCACGAGGGATGATGTGGAATGAAAGGGGAAAGGGTGAAGACCCCTGTGCCAAGCATAACATGGCATCCCCATGAGAGTGGGGCAGTTCATGAGGGGGTAGCACCAATTGATGCCCTGTGCCCTGGTACAGGGGAACTTAGGGAATGGGCCACAGGGCTAAAAATGAGGCCTGGGGCCTCCACAGGGCCACCCTTTCCCCTAAGGGACCATTCTTGGATCCAAAGATCTACTTCCACTTATCCTGGTGGTCGTGAAATCCAGACTCAACACTGCGGTCAATGTGGGGTCAGCCCAGCCTGTGTCTTTGGGGAGGCAGACTGTGCCTACACTGTGGTCTCATACTCCAGCAGCTCCTGGGAGGTGTCCATGCTGCGGTACTGCAACCGGGGCGTGGCCGGTGAAGAATACTCCAGCGCCAGGATGGTCTTCCTGAGCCTCCGGTCAATAAAATGAGCATCCCACGCGGGGTACTTTTTCCGAGGCAGGTCAATCCGAATGACAGGCCCCTCTGTCCGCGAGGGGTGAGCCACTGGAGTGGGAGGCAAGCCAGGCCGCACCTGGAAGACCGGCGGTGTAGGGGTCCCGGCTCGCTCACCTCCCACTGAGGCCCCATCCCGCTCAGTGCCTGTAGTCCTCGGCAGGGACCTCGGCGGGCTTGTGATGGCATCAGCTGGAGGGGCACAGGGCCCCGGGGCTTCAGGGAAGATGCAGCCAGGTGCCTGGGGACCCAGCATGGGGCCGTTGGGGTGGAGGAGACAGTAATAGACACACATAAAGAATATGCCCAGGGCGAAACTGGAGGCCACCACACAGACCAGGATGAGTGAGTAGGAGTCGGTGGAGAAGTCTCGGCTGGAGTACCAGAGGCCAGTGAGCGCCGCGTTCTCGAGCAGCACGATGCAGTAGTAGAGGGCCACCCGGCGACGGCTGCGGCCCTCCTTGACGTGGAACCAGCAGAAGATGTAGATAATGCCCACCACCATATTGTAGATGATCTCCTCCCACTTGGACATGCAGAAGTCTGTCTCGCCCTGGATGACCCAGAAGGTCATGACGCACCAGTGGGCCACGATGAAGATGCCGAAGTAGAGCTTGTACACGCTGGCAAAGAGGGCGAAGGCCAGCGTGCGGGCCGCAATGGTGAACAGGTGCCATAGTACTTGGACCACCGCGCCCTTGTAGGACAGGGGCCGCTTGTCGTCTCTTGAGTCTCTCAGCACCTTCTGGTAGGATGCCAGGGTCCAGGCCAGGGACACAAGAGAGGCGGAGATGGAGAGAGCTGTGGAGACAGGGTAGGGGTGGGGTGGGCTGGGTTAGGGGTGGGTCCAGGTTGGGGTCTGGAGAGGAGGAGGTTCTGGGTCAGGACCTGGGTTCTGAGCAGCTGTCAGGGTCTGAGGATCAGGTGTGAGGACGGTCTGGTTGGGGGGTGTTCAAGGCCAAGGATGGGGGTGGAGTCGGGGAGAGAGGTTGGATGCCTCTGTGGGTATGGGAGCTTAAAGGGAAATACATTGGGGTGATTTTGATCTCCACCGGCATCAAGTCTAGGATTCCAGTATGAGGTAGGTGGGGTTGGTGGGGGGTGGGAAATTAGGGTCCAGGACTCTAGGAGTAGAAGAGGAGGTCAAGAAGGGATCGTTAGGTCATGAAAGAGCCAGGAGACCATTAGAAGATATGAGTCTGGGTATAGAGGGGCAAGGAAAGCTAAGCAGAACTAGGGAGGGGGAATCCCCATGGGACCCTGCGTTCAGGGCCGGAGACAGGACAGAAGGTGTCCCCGGGAGCCCTGAGAGTTAGTGATGGAGCCTTGAGACATGGAGGGGGAGCTAGGCAGGGCGTGGGTGGGAAGAGCATGAAGTGCTTGAGAGACAGGTGACAGGGCTTTTCTGTGGCCACTGACTGTCAGGGACTGGAGTGTTTCAGAAGGAGCAGTGTGGGGTGTGCATGACCAGGTGCAAGGGAGGAGACCAGGGCATCCAGCCAAGGGAGAGGTGGACATATTCCCTGGAAACTGATGGTAACTGGGCAGGTCTGTAAAGCAAGGGGTCTCCAGAGGATGCAGGCTGGGGCTCAAACAGTTTGTAGAACAGAGAGGGCGGAGGACTCCCTCACGGGCCTAAAGTTTGTTGGAGGGAGTGAAGGGGAGAGGCAAGCTATGGTCTGTCCCGGCAATGGGGAAGGGAAAAAGAGGAGCCCAGAGTGTCTTAGGCGCGGTGGCAGAGTGGAAAAGACAAGTCAGACGCGAGGGGAGGTCTGGAGAGGCCTAGAGGGTGGTGAGGGCCTGTGGTTCCCTAACCCCTGGCCACGCAGCCCTGCCTTGGCGGGGCGAGGCGCAGAGTATCCCGGCGGGCCAGCGGGTGGCGGGTGGCGGGTGGGGCTCACCAGTCAGCAGTTCAGGCTCCTGGCCGCGGTGAAGCAGCAGGCTGAGCTGCAGCACCAGCTGGGGCGCGCTGCGCAGGAAGGTCTCCAGCAGACGCAGCATGCTCACGTCTGCGCTCTCGAACAGCATCCGCCAGTAGAAGTGTCGCCGCAGCCGCTCCCCGCGCCAGCGGCTCTGCAGCCCCAGGTACAGGGCGCGCAGGTACCTGCGGGGGGAGGTGGTGCTCAGGTCCAGGCTCCTCCGGGCTGGCGCTTCCCTACCCCAGCCTCCCTCCCACTTGCTCCGCCCTCCGGCAAGATTCCCACCTCCAGGACCTACCCTGGGGCTGAAAAGTGGGCTGGTCTCTCCCGGTGTGGTGCAGAGCACAGAGTGCACGCATTAGCTCTTAGCTTAGTCCTATCCTCATCTCCAGTTTAGAGGAAGGAACTGGGAGCCAGAGACCATAGCATTTGCCCAAGGTCATACACAGCTAGCCAACAGCGGAACCAGAACTCAATTCCAGGTACGAATCACAGACCACACCGCTTCTTACTGGAAACTTGAAGAGATTTGGCCATGGGTCTCCTGTCTGGACCATAGCTGGTGCCAGGCCCCAGTCCTGACCCACTTGCTGCTCCCTGGCCTCAGGGAAGCTGCTCACCCAACAAACTTAATAGTTGCTTCCAGGCCACAGGTTTCAGGGCATATGGCGGTCCGCGTCACCACTGGGCTTTTACACTTGCTGTTCCTTTTACCCGAAACACCCCTCCCAATTCCTTAACTCCATTCCAGTCCTAGGTAATAAGTCTCACTCTTGTTTCAAATATCAGGCTCCTGCTGACCACCTCCCCTCAGCCTACCTCCCACCCCCACCCCATTCTGCTACCGCGGGGGTAGAGCTTCCTGGCCAGGCTCACATCTCCTCCATCTCCTTCAGCGACTCAGCTCTCGCCACACAGTAGGTGCTCAATCCACAGATGAATGAATACATAGCTGCAAGCTTGTATTCAAGCCCTGATAACCTTGGAGCAGGTAGGGAAGGATCCGAGGCTGGAGTTCAGTTCCTGACTCTTCTTCTAATTCACTCTGTTGAGTCCAGGCTCACTTCTCCCCAGGCAGCAGAGAGGATGGAAGGTAAAGAGCAGTGCCCACGTGGTATGGCAATTGAGTCTAATTTCACCCTGTGGCCACAGAACCTGTCTCTCCCCAGCCCCTGAAAATCTTTGATGAATGTGACAGGTTAGCCCTTCGTCTAACTCACAGAGGAATTCTCTAGAAGTGGCCTCCCCAGAAAACAGATGGAGAGTGTCCAGCGCAGATGCAGTGACCTATTGCCTGAATCTCAAACTGAGGCACTAGGGATCGGAAAGTGCTGGCATTTCTAGGACATTGGAACCAGGGGACCAACTCTACACTTGGTGTGCTGACAGCCTGTGAAAGGCACCATGGTGCTACAGGGCCTCCATATCATAATGACAGGGGTGTCCCCCCCCCCCCCGAGATGGCGTTCTAAGTCATGGACTCTCTCCCCAAAAGGTGTCCGAGAAAATCCAATTTGGGGTACTCTTGACCCCAATTAATGCTGCTGACCCATCCCCACCTGGTAGCCGGGAGGGGAAAGGGACTGTTTCATTGGCTGCTGAGTGACCCAGGACTGGACTGTGTTTCTCTGATGGGTTAAAAGCTATCTCCCTATGTCGTCCGTTTCTCTGGGTCTCCTGCTCCCGACCCCCACTCACACATAGGATTCCTGCAGCCAGCGGCATTGAGTCATATGGTTGGTGTGCTTCGGCCTAGCTCTGTACGAGGTTTGCCCGTACATGTCTCACGCTTCCATGCGGGAGAGATGGGAAACTCTTCTTATTTGTCGGGGGAGGGAAGTCAGGGAAGGTTTTCTGCAAGAAATAGCTTTTCTCTCCCTCCCCCATTCTTCTCTCTTTTTCTTCCTTTCCTGACATCATTGCTTGTAGTCCAGGCTGGTCTAGAACTAAGTAGCTCAAGATGACTTTGAAGTCCCAATCCTCCTGCCTCCACCTTCAGAGTGCTGGTGTTACAGGTACGCACGACCATGCCAGTATTTTGTTGGATTTTAAGGTAGATTGTCATGTGACCCAGGCTGACCTCAGCCGCCTTAGCTCAAGCTGGATCTTCCTGCCTCCACCTCCCTCCTAAGGCACCACCAAGCCTGGTTTTGATTTCGGTTTTAAAGCACGCGTTCTCTGTAATCCCAACACTTGGGAGGTTGAGTCAGGAGGACCACAAGTTTAAGGCCAGCTTGGGCTACAAAAAGAGACTTGGTCTTGGAAAAACAAAAAACAAGTCAATAAACCAATTGAGCAATAAAATACAATAAAACCACTAGTGTGGGGGTGGGGGAAGCTTGGGAGATAGCTCATTGGCTGTAAGAAGTGGCTTCTCTTCCAGAGGACCAGGGTCCTATCCCCAGCATCCACACGGCAGCTCTGCACCTCTTTTCCAGGGATCAAATGCTTTCTTTTGTGGGCACTGCACTCACATGGTACACAAACATACTTGCAGACAAAACACCCACACACATACAATACAAATAAGTAAATCTGACACACGCACGCACGCACGCACACCCGCCCTTGTACACACTTGAGGACAGCAATAGAGGAGGGCATTCAGAAGAACAGGCAGATGCAAGGAGCAGAGATGATGAGAGCCCACGCACTTTCAGGGGATAAGCTGAGGTTTGTTGGGCCGGGCCTAGACAGGTCCAATGAGACAGGGGCACAGACAGACCAGAATTTTAGAATTCATCATATTGAGAAAGTTCATCAAATTCTGCAGCCAGTTCCAGGCTGCGGGGTTAGGGGGCAGGGGGGTGGGATGATACTCAACAATGGAGCACATGCTTAGTATATGCGAGGCTCTGGTTTCCATCCCTGAAAAAAAAAAAAAAATCTGGACTGGCGTAAGTTTCATTTGGATTCTGAACCCCAGAATTGGTGGCGATAGGATCAGCTTAGAGCCTTGAAAGTGCACTCAGAGGGCTGGCTTGGAGGGATGCCATGCAGAGGCTGGGGCTGGTCCTCCAGGCTGACAGGGTTGAGCTGAGGCAGTGGTACAGCAGAGCAGAAGAGAATGACCTGGGAGTGGCCATCGGTGAGGCCCCAAACACAGACCTTCATTCCAGGCCTCCACCTCCCCAGCCCTCCAGCTCACTTTCTTCCTCATGCCTGTGGCTCTGACTTCGAAGAGAAAGGAGAGGCCAGCTGGCCCAACGTGAAGGGGCCTGGGGAGCTGGGGAAAAGCAATACCCTGGAAGTTTCTCTGAGGCTAGAAGACCATCTGTTTCCGCCCAGGTTAGGCTGAGGGAGGTGCCAGCCCTGCCAGCATCGTCACCACCTGGCAGGCCTCCTGTTACCTCCCCGCCCACTCCTGCTCTTCCCTCTGCCAGTTTCCAGCTAACCACAGACAAAGGGCTCATAGCGTCCAGGACTGGGACGGGGAGGGGTGGGAAAGAGGCTCCTGCCGTGGAGCTTGAGGGTCTGAGGGTAGCACAGAAACCACACTGCAGCCCAGGGACAAAAGGCCTTTTTGAGCACAGCCTCACTCTTGTCCTCTTGAGGATGGCACCGAGGCAGTCGCTGCTCCTTCCAGCCAGCAAGAACTACTTGCTACCAGGGGCCTGTGGGGTGCTCCTGCGCTCATGACAGTGTTGGAGGCTTGTCGGGACAACTGGCTTCAAAACACAGGGAAAGAACTGCAGAATCGAAATTAATCCATGTTTAATTAAATGTCTGCAAAACACAACATGATGTCAGCTAGTCGTTTGCAACTTGGCTTTCATCTGGTTATATATAATTTACATTTGATGCTTGATAGATGCTGAGCCACTGGGGTCTTAAAGGGACACTGACCAGGACATGGAACCTCATTTCCCTGGCTTCAGTTGCCTTTTCTCTGGGACAGGGCAGGCACCTGTCACCCTGTCTGTGCCACAGTCACCAGAATGAAGATCCCAAAAGCAAGATGGCTGTATAATGGGTTTGTGGGTTTGTGTCCCAGCCCTGCCCTGCACCCTGCTTTGAAGCCTTGGGTAGTCTCTGCTTCCCTGAACCTTATTTCCCCCTCCCCCATTGTAAACATCAAGTGATAGAGTTAACAGTAATTTGCAAACTGTGGAGATTTGTGCACGTAGTGGTGGTGGAGAGAAGAGGAGCATGTACTGAGTGGAGGTCTCAGGCTCCTTCTGGCCGCTAAGCAACTGCTCTCAAACCTCCTCCAGGAACTCCCACTGCACGCTACCTCCTGCTCAGTGTGAAAGGAAGTCGAAAGAAGCAGATGTCACCATGGGTGGGGCTGGTAACACCCACAGAAAGTACCCCATCTCAAGTGGAGAAAACCGGAGTTGCTATCCGGGCCACTCCCATCCATTTCTTGGGTGAGGCACCCTCATCCCTTGCCAGGACATCCGCAGCAGCCTTCCCAGTGGGGTCTCTGTCCACCCACTCCTGCCCCCTACAGTCCATTCTACACATAGCAACCAGCAGGGATTTTTTTTCCAGTTTATATTTACTTTTCATCCCAAGGGTGCCCCCTCCCTCCTCTCTTCCCAGCACCCCCCTCCAGCAGGGAATTCTTAAAGCCCAGCAGATCAGGTCATTTGCTTTCTGGAAGCCTTACACCGGCCTCTTCTCACATTCAAAACAGACCCCAACCTTCTCTCCTCAGCTTGCCGGCTCCCAACCATCTGGCCTGCCCGTTTCTCTCACTGTATCTCAAACCACTGTCTGCTTGTTCTCCACACCCCAGCTGCATCAGGAGTTCCCTGCCAGACTTGCTCCAGACTCAGGACTTCCGCACTTGTCGAGTGCTCAGCCTGGAACAACCTTCCCCAGTTCCTGCTGCGGCTGGCTCATCAGCTCCCTAACACATTCTTAGAAAAAGCCACCCATCCCACGTTGGTGCCTCCAGCCTCCAAGGATCAGTCTAGTCCATCACATCCTTCCTTCTGATCCTCCAGCCTTCATCTCCTGAGTGCTGGGAGCATAGGTGAGAGACACCACATCCCCCTGCTTGTGAAGCACGGGGATCATTCCCGGGGCTTTGTGTGCGCTATGCAAGCATCCTGCCAACTGAGTTCCATCCACGGCTCCTAGACATTTTCTCTCTTTCCATCACTAGTGCTCCATGAGGCAGGGACCTGTTTGTATTGGTCACCAGAGCGACCTCTGCTTTTGCACAGGGAGAAGGCAG